CTCGATGTCATCTGGTTCCCTATCCTTGGTAAATGACCTAGTTTTGGTTTATGTGGTTGGTTGGTTTTCTCCCCGGAAGTGTTTGGATCTTCCATTGTTTTGAAATGATATTACAATTTGTCTTCCTATTGGGCTTTCAGTGAACCATTTGAATCTATTCTTCTGTTCTATAAAGGTTTGTTTGAGAATTTCTTTTCCTCCTTTTTATTCTTCTCTCATAATGAAACTTCTGTTTGTTGAATATTGGGCTGTTGGTTTGACCTAAAGTTCTTATATTTTCTCTTTTATTGTCCATCTCTTTATATTTTTGTCTTTCTGTGTGATTATCTTGACTTTATCTTTCAATCTTTTTATGTAATTTTTCATTTGATTTTTATACTGGGAAATTCTAGGGTTTTTCCTTATTCTCTGAGTATTCCTTTTTGAGAGTGGACTGTTTTTTTTTTTTTTTTTTCTCGTGGATACAATATTTTCTTATATTTTTGAGGCTTTCTTCTGCTTCTTGAGTTTCTCTGCTTCTACCAAATGCCTTTTCCGGTTTGCTTGTTCACGTGGTTCATGTTAGGGGCTTTCTTCAAGTGTCTGATGATTCTTGACTCTGTTCACAAGAGCAAGGCACTAAGGCATATTCTAAGGTATTGACTGAATTATACTGTATTAACTGATGATTGGGCAAGGGTAGAAATATAGAGCATCCATAGATTTTTTCTTCTGGATCTGTGGAGTTCAGTTTCTCCTGAAAGAAGTCCTCCAGTCTCCTGGCTCTGGAAGGTTTACCTCTGGCCAGCAGTTCTAGAGCTGATTGGAGGAAGGGGTTGATTTTATATGTAACTTTATTTTACTCCTCCTATATTAAGTACAGTGCCTTATCCCTACTTTCTGCTGCACTTGGCACCTGGTATCCCTAAGTCCTGGCTTCCCTATTTCATTTTCTTCCAGAGGGCAAAGTAGGGGGAATAGAGGGTTGCCTGGGTGATTTTTCTAGGGGAGGAGAATGAGGGTCTAATTGTGCCTTACACAGATTTTTATCTAATCTCCCTGTTTTCAGCTGTGCCTTTCCTTCCTGCCTTCCAAGATAGCTAGTGCTTTCAATTCGTGAGCCTTTCTGGGCTCTGCTCTGAGAACCAGCTTGTTTCCTGCTGGCATGTTGTTGTTGTTGGTATGTGTTGTCGAGTTGGATCTGACTCATAGCGACCCCTCCTTGGGTTTCCTAGGCAGTATTACTACAGAAGTAGGTTGCCCCATTTTCCTTCCGAGGAGTTGCTGGTGGATTTGAATCACCAGGCTTCTGGTTAGCAGTCAAGTGCCTTAGGTACTACGCTACCAGAGCTCCCTAGCCCTCTGCAAATGTACTGGTTTTGGCTTTCTGCCATTTGCTAAACCAGTTACCACTTTTCATCTGCTTTCTATCTTCTAAAATTATTGACATCTCTTACCCCTTGTCCCTTTTCTCATTTGCTTTACTCTTTTGGATTTAAAGTTCTACATATATAATTTTAGTGGAAAGGAATAATGATAAACACATGTGTTTAGTCCACTGTGTTTAATTGGAATGAGCAGATAGACCATGAATTTATAGTGCTATCAGTTGGAATGGCTATATGATTTTCAGTAGCAAAATTCAGCAGGCTTGGTGGATTTGGTGAAAGAATGATGGGCCTGTTTTGGATTGGGGTTTTGCTGGTGGGTATGGTAGAAGGACAGTAGGGCAGAAGAGTTGAGGATACTGGAAAGAGAGTGATGATGGACCATGCAGTCTAGGTTGCATAAGTGAAGGTAATAAAGATACGAGGGAATAGATTAGATGATCTTATGACTAGAGATCTCATGATTGTAAGAAAAGACTTGTGAAACTTATAACAAATGCTACTTGGTCCTGCCAGCATCTTCTCAACCAGGGGCTACAGTGCTACTCCTAACTCTCTTCATACTTCTTTGATTTTATCCTTCTGTCTTCTCACTTTTAAAAAGGAAAACTCTGAAGGCAGAGGCCCTTCCCTCTCTCAGATACTCAGGAGAGGATTCTGTATGGAAAATGAAGGTAGTGACATCTTACCTCCCTGCTTTTCCCCCTGGAGGGGCACCTGCGAGTATTCAGGGACCCCTGCCCCAAGTTCATTTCTGAGATGTGATTGAGGTAGAGTGGACGTAGGTGTTAGGTGGACTGACCCAAGATCTCCTCTGCAGACTCTCTCTTCAGAACTTTGGGGAAGCAAGGTGTCTCTCTTTGTTTACCCATCATCCCCTTCTTAACCCTTTGCAGCCTGTTTTCCACCTTTACTATGATAGGAAAGTCTTTCCTGGCCTGCTTGACAAATCCATCAACTCCATCAGTAGAGAATTTGACATCCTTGTTGCCTTGAAACTTTTTTTCTTTTTTTTTTAACTTTTTATTGTGATTTGGGTTCACCTTGAAACTTTTTATGAACACTGACAGATGCCTATCCTACAGAAACTAAAGTCCCGAGGTCTTCTCACTCCTGTCCTAGTGGTCTTTCCACTACAGCAAACCCAGTGCCTGAAAGAGCCATGTTTGAGGCTTTAGTAAAGTGTGATGGCTAGATGCAGAGCTTCAGAGTCTGACACACCTGGATTCAAACCCAGTTCAGCCACATGCTGGCTGTGGGACCTTGGACAACTTATATAAAACCCACTACTACTGAATTGATTCAGACTCATAGTGACTGCATAAGACAGAGTTGAACTGCTCCACAGGGTTTCCAAGGCTGTAAATCTTTACGGAAGTAGATTGCTTCATCTTCCTCCCATGGAGTGGCTGGTGGGTTTGAACCAGTGACCTGTTGGTTCACAGCTAAATGCCTTAAGCACTGTGCCACCAGAGCTCCTTGGACAACTTATGTAGTATCTCTGGAATCTCAATTTCTTCATCTTTAAATGCTGATAATAAGCTTACCCTAAATGGTTGTGAGGATTGTTGCTGTGTGCCATCAAGTTGATTCCAACTCCTACCGACCCCATGTGACAGAGTAGAACTGCCCCATAGGATTTTCTTGGCTATAATATTTAGTTCATAGAGCAGATCTGCGGGTCTTTTTCCCTATGAAGTGGCTTCTGGATTCGAACCACTGACCTTTTGATGAGCTACTGAGTGTTTAACTATTGTGTCATTAGAACTTCTTTGTTGAATATTAGAATAATGCGTATTAAATACAGAGTATGGTAAATACACCCAAAAAACCAAACCCACTGCCATCGAGTTGGGTCTATAAGACAGTAAATCTTTACAGAAGTAGATTGCCTCATCTTCCTACCATGGAGTGGCTAGTGGGTTTGAACCGCCCACCTTCTGATTAGCAGTCAAATGCCTTTAGCACTGTTCCACCAGAACTCCTTGAGCATGGTAGATAGTAAGTGCTTAAATGGTGCCTTTTTTATTAGCCTCTCTCTAGAGGCCTAAACACCCCACTGCTGCCACCTGTCAGATACGCTGGAGTGAGCACTGGTAAAGGATTGACTTCCTTATGTTTCAGGTCTGGGCTAGTTCTGTTTTCTCCAAACCCGATCCTTTGGGTCTACTGAAGGAAAAGTTAAGGACAGGACTACCATCTAGTGTTTCTAGCCATTGTGGGGTCATTGGATGTTGACAGTGGATTATATCAGAGCAGCCCACTTTGCAGGAGCTTCCTCTCTTACCAGATTTTTTTGATCCTCTTGCTCCCTCATTGAGTGCCCTTGGTGACCCCGAGGCCTTGGTGCTCCCTCTCCTTGGCCATCACTCTGCACATTCTCTTCTTTGAAGAATGGAGGCCATCATAATATTTTAACTATACCTTCGCTCTTTTTTTTTTTGTTTTTTACCATACTTTGTATTTGGTTTATTTACCATACTCTGTATTTAATATGCATTATTCTAATATTCAACAATTTCCCCTACCTACTTTCAAGATTCAGCTCCACTCCCACTGCAGATCTTGCCCAGTCTTTAGCCTCCATACTCTCCTCCTTTTCTGAGTCCTGACAGCACTTACATTCAGTATCCAGTCATGCTCTGATCCACAGCTACTGCACGTGCATCTCTGTCTTCCCAGTGGGACAGGGAGGCTTTTGCAGTCCCCAGCAGAGTGCCGTGTACAGTTTGGTGTTCGCTTCAAGCAATAGCTCCCGTTTGGTGAGCACTTTGAGTTTATAAGGCAGAGGGCTATGGTTGTGTAACAAAATGCTTCCTCATTATAACCTCCTTTTTTTCCTGGTTTGATACTGTGCTTTAGAAATCAGACTCATTCTGGAACAACCTCTGGGGGTTGGGATGCAAAACAGCCTGGCCTTTGAGGCCTGCCTGGCCACTTCACCTCTCTGCTGCTAGTCTCCCTTAGGCTCCCTACCCCCTTAGTCCCAGGGCCTGTCCCTACTGCCCTTGGCTCCTGGCCAGACATCCCCCAAGTCACCCACTCCAGGCCCTTTGATTCACAGTGGGAATCTTCTCTTTGCTGCTTGCTTTCCACACTTTTCAATCCTGAGGTGAATGTAATGTAGCATGTGTTTTTGTCTTTAACTTTATCTCTGTTCCCCTTCTTCCAATCAGCTAATGATTATTCAGGAGACTTATCTCAACCTGCTATCCCTATCCCAAATCTATCTAAGTTCTCTTTAGGGCAAGGGTCATGAGGTGATGTCACGGCCATGTGACTACTGCCTATACCCCCCTCCCTCTGCTGTTCTGGACCTACTCTTCTGAAAAGCTAACTTGTTCTGTCTCCAGCTTACCCGAACAGAGACCAGATCAGAAAGGTAAGCCTCTTGTCTTTGCATCAGGTGGCCAGTGGCCACTATAATTCACCTGCTTAGTGCTAACAATCCTCCTCTCTCCCACCTACTTCTACTGCCTTTTTTCCCTCTTAGTTGCCCTTTCTATGCAGTGAAAGTTGGGACTGAGTTGCCAGACTGGGGCCTTGGGCCTATCGAGGGGTTGGGGTTCTTGCTGGCTGTGTCCAGGTGGAGTATACAGGCTGAGGAGGGAATAATACTTGTTCTGCTCACAGATTTTATCCTGATGGCTGACTCAAAACCACTCTCCTCCCTTGATGGGGACCCCATGGCCACAGAAGCCCTGCTCTGGGATGTGTTTGGGATCGTTGTGGATGAGGCCATTCGGAAAGGGACCAGTGCCTCTGAGAAGGTGGATATTTTCTCCCTCCTCCTCCCCATTAGGCCTTCCCTCTCTCTTTGAAAACCTATTTCATACTTTCCTTCGAGAAGGCTTCTTCCCAGAATTCATCACTGGCTCCCAGTATGCCTTAGGGATTCAGATATCGCGTCTCACATGTATTTATTTACCCTTGCTCATGTGTTGCTTTGAAAATATTCCTAAGCTGATGTCTTCAGTGGAAGTGAGTGATGCATCGTGTCTGCTGAGACACACTCCATGTGTTCAGACCCTGGGTGCAAACCCCAGAGTCTCCCTCTTCTCCTAGGTCTGCGAGTGGAAGGAGCCAGAGGAGCTAAAGCAGCTGCTGGATTTGGAGCTGCGGAGCCAGGGGGAGTCACAGGAGCAGATCCTGGAGCGGTGCCGGGCTGTGATTCGCTACAGCGTGAAGACCTGTGGGTCTCAGGTTCTGGTGGGAGCGATCTCTGGGATTTTTACCCAGTTCAACTCTGAGCTCCTTGTCCTACCCTCCCTTCTCCAGGTCACCCTCGGTTCTTCAACCAGCTCTTTTCAGGGTTGGATCCCCACTCTCTGGCTGGACGCATTATCACTGAGAGCCTCAACACCAGCCAGTGAGCCATCCCACAGCTCCTCCCGACGGCTCCACAAAGGATTTGGGCTTGGGGGAGAGAGCTGCCTTCGTGGGTAGGGGAGGAGAACTTTTTTGCTTGGCTCTGTCTTCTGTACTGCTTCCTGAGAATCTCTGTTAGCAGACTTTACCCTCATATCGCTTGGACAGATCCCCATTCTACAAGTTTTCTCACGCTGTCAGTCACCTACTCAGTGCTGACTACATTCTTCTTTCCCATCTGTTTTGTCATTCTTTTTTTTCTTTGTAAGATTTTTTTGTGGTTTAGGTGAAAGTTTACAAAGCATATTAGTTTCCCATTCTGTGACATTGGTTGCAGTCCTCACAATGTATCGGCATTCTCCCCAAAGTCCCCTTGGGTTCCCTGTTTCCATGTGCCCAGTTTTCCTGCCCCTTCCTGCCTTCTTAACTTTGCTTTTGGGCAAATGCTGCCCTTTTAGTCTGGTGTCTCATGTAGTTAATTGTTCGGAGGAGCATGTCCCTCCCAGGTGTTACTGTTCATTTTATAGGCTTGTCTTTTAATGTGGCTGAAAGGTGGTGGTTTTCTCATTCTTGCTTCCCTGATTCTTTATCACCAACTTATTTCCTTCTCTGGACACTTCCCCGACTCGTTCTCCCCACCCTCTTTCTTTGGCTCCTCTCTAGTTTAAGGGCCTGACCCGCAGCACCACTCCGTCCACTTCTATCCCTTTCTTATCATTCCTTCTCCTGGCAGGTATACATATGAAATTGCCCCCGTGTTCATACTCATGGAAGAAGAAGTGCTGAAGAAACTCCGGGCCCTGGTGGGCTGGAGCTCTGGGGATGGGGTCTTCTGCCCTGGTATGTGAGAAGCAGGGGCCCCTCTCCTTGGCTTTTTAAAGGGCTTTTCCTCTCCTCCATTCTCTTGCTCTAACAAGTGGCAGGGCAGAGTGGTTCCTCTTTGTTTTCCTTCCAGCTGGGTCCTGGCCAGACCAGGGAGGAGACTGCCCAGTCCCTTTTATCTTCGTGTTTGCCCGTCGGTTCCTGAGATCAGTGCTCTAGTGCCTGCTACCTCTGGTAGGGGCTGTCTGCTGGCAGCAGCCCAAGATGTGGAGGGGGTAGTCAGGAGGATCCGTGGATCCTGGAGCTGTGCTTATTGTCCCCGTGCCATTCGTAGAGCCTAGGCATGGCCTGAGAGCCAGTTACCCCTCTTCTTTGGGCAGCTCTTCTGGGCAGAGGGGCAAGGAGAGGCAACCTCCAGCTTGCCTTGCAGCGGACTCACAATCCCTCCTTCTTGACACCACCTCTTTCTGTGACAGGTGGCTCCATCTCCAACATGTATGCTATGAACTTGGCCCGTTACCAGCGCTACCCAGATTGCAAGCAGAGAGGCCTCCGAGCACTGCCACCCCTGGCCCTCTTCACATCGAAGGAGGTGAGAAGGAGACATGGCTCCTGATTCCAACCTCTAGCCAGTTGCATCAGATGCCTCAGGTTCTCTGCCTGTTTTGACCCATCTCCTCTGAGATCAGCCTGCCCCTGCGCAGATAGATGTTCTTCCAATTAAGGAGGCTGATTAAACGTTAGCTTCTGTTCACTTTGCCTTGTTCAGGGGTGGGATGGGGAGAAACTGGTCCACTGAACACAGTTGACACCCTTCTACTCTAAGTGTGTTCCATGAGCCATAGCATTGGCATCATCTGGGAGCTGGTTAGAAATGCAGACTCTTGAAGCCTCACCCCAGACCTCCTGACTCTGAATCTACATTTTACTAAGACATCCAGGTGATCAGTATGCATATTAATATTTGAGAAGCCCAGGTGTACAGGGTCCCATCAATAGTAACTCACATTTGACTTTTCCGATTCTGTCTCCTCGCCATCTTCCCTCCCTCTGGCCCCTGGTGCACATTGTCCTAACCTGCCTTCTGCCTTCCTCCACAGTGTCACTACTCCATCAAGAAGGGAGCTGCTTTTCTGGGACTTGGCACTGACAGTGTCCGAGTGGTCAAGGCAGATGAGAGGTGAAGGTCGTTTTGTCCACATGACTCTGACTCAGCTTCCCACAGTGTACCTTCCTGCTGCCAGAACTCTCTGGCTTCAGGCCCATGACCTGGTGGACTTCTCTCCCCTATATTTTCCTGCAGAATTGCCACTCCTGCCCCCTGTATCTCACACCTTGTCTCCTGAGATCTGCTTTGCCCCTCTTAGAGAAAAGGCAGCATTTGGGCCTCTGCATGGTTAACTCCACCTTACCCTATTCAACAATTCCTCCTCCTGGCCTAGAGAACCTATTACTTCTCTATCCACCCAATTTTCTCTTCCAGAGGGAAAATGATCCCTGAGGATCTGGAGAGGCAGATCAGCCTGGCTGAGGCTGAGGTGAGTGAGCAAGGGGTGCTGGGCGGAGGGTAGGGGGCCCCACCGTCTTTGACTTCTCCCTACTCAGGGCATGTTGTCTTAGTTATCTAGGTGTTGCTGTAACAGAAATACCAAAAGTGGTGGCTTTAGTGAACAGTTTTTTTTTTTTTTTTTTTTCCTCATGTTTTAGGAGGCTAGAAGTCTGAATTCAGGGCACCTGCTCTAGGGGAAGCTTCTCTCTCTGTTCACTCTGGGGGAAGGTCCTTGGCAGTCATGCTGTCTTCCCCTCCATCTGGGCTGGCTTGTTTGCTTAATCTGTTGTTCTTTTATGTCACAAAAGAGATTGACCTAAAATACCCCTATACCAATACTGCCTCATTATCATAACAAAACACCATTCTCAAATGGGATATAACCACAGGTGTAGAGATTAGGATTTACAACACTTTTTTTTCCACCCAATTTTTATTGTGATTTGGGTGAAAGTTTACCAAATAAATTCATTTCTCATACAGCAGTTCACACACACTTTGTCTTATGACATTGACTGCAGTTTCCCACAGTGCAACAGCTCTCTTCCCACTTCTTCCCACAGTTACCTCTTCCCTGTGTCCTTCCCTCCCATGCACTATGGCCCCCTGACCTGTCTCCCTGTGCGTACATAGCCCTTCTATTTCCCATGATTGATTTCTCCAAGGAGTGTATCTACCTAATGTAAATGTTCAGCTCATATGCCTGCCTTTGGGTTGGCTGGAAGGCACAGGAGTGGGTTCATTTCCAGACCTGAAGGGCAGCTAGAGGCCGTAGTCTCAGGAGTTCCACCAGTCTCTATCAGACCAGCAAACCTGGTCCCTTTTTTTTTTTTTTAAATGATTTTGAATTTTGTTCCACATTGTTCTCCCACTCTATCCAGGATCTCCTACATAGATTTCCCTCCGAGTGGTTGACAGTGGTAGCTGGGGCACCATCTACTACTTCTGGTCTCATAGTTATATAGAATGAGGATCGCATGGTGCACCGGTCCCTTGGACTAATTGTTTCCACAAGTCTTTGGTTTTCTTCATTCTTTGCTCTGGATGAGGAGAGACCTATTGTACAACACATATTTTTAAGGGACACATTTCAATCTATAACAGAACACTTCATCCCTCTTCTTGGTCTCCATGCCCATTTTCCCTGTGGGCTGCAGTGCTCCCTAGGAACCTGAGAGATGAGGACTCTCTGGGCTGCTGTCAGGGACACTGAGATACACAGGCAGGATCAGAGTCTGCGAGGAAGACTGAGTCACTGAGTGGTGTCCCAGGCAGCAGCACAGGCAGGCATCGGGGGCCTGAACTACATACAGTGTGGAAGGTTTCCATGTGCAGGAAGATGCTGAGGAAGATGGCGGGGCAGTAGTAAAGAGTGCAGGCTTTGAGCAGTGGGAAATGTGGAGGCATTGGCACTCTCCTCCACTTTGGGAGGATGTAAAATACTGCATCCATCTTGGGGGGCAGTTGGCATAAACTTTTGTACTCGTCTATTAACCAAAAGGTTGGCAGTTCAAACCCATTTAGTGAAACATCTCAATTGATATTCTGTTAGTTCCTGGAGGCTTGCTTTTTGCCAATGCTTTCAGTGAAGCTTGGTGTTCTTCCTTCAGTACCATATGCCACCTCCTGAAATGATTGAACATCAACCAATTCTTTTTGGTACAGCGACTCTGTGTATTCCTTCCATCTTCTTCAGATGCTTCCAGCATCATTCAATATTTTGTCCATAGAATCCTTCAATATTGCAACTCGAGACTTGAAATTTTTCTTCAGTTCTTTCAGGGAGAAATGCTAAGTGTGTTCTTCCCTTTTCTAACCCCAGGTCTTTATGTATTTCATTATACTTCTTTATTTGTCTTCTTGAACTGGCCTTTAAAATCTTCTATGCAGCTCTTTTACTTCATCATTTCTTCCATTCACTTTAGCTACTGTACGTTCTAGAGCAGTTTCAGAGTCTTTTCTGATCATTTTGGTCTTTTCCTTCTTTCCTGTCTTTTTAATGACCTTTTGCTTTCTTCATGTATGATGTCCTTGATGTCATCCTGTAACACATCTGGTCTTCAGTCTTTAGTGTTAGTGTGTCAGACATCTTGAGATGGTCTTTAAGTTCAGGTGAGATACAGTCAAGGTTGCATTTTGGTTTTTGTGGAATTATTTTAATTTTCTTCAACTTAAACTTGCAGAGGAACAATTGATGGTCTCTTCTGCAGTTGGCCCCTGGCCTTGTTCTGACTGATGATATTGAGCTTTTCCATCATCTCTTCCCACAAGTGTAGTCGATTTGATTCCTATGTATTCCATCTGGTGAGGTCCACATGTAAAGTTGCCATTTATGTTGTTTAAAAAAGTATTTGCAATGAGTAAGTCATTGGTCTTGCAAAATTCTACCATGCAGTCTCTGGCATTGTTTCTGTCACCAAGACCATGTTTTCCAATTACTAGTCCTTTTTCTTTATTTCGGATTTTAAGTCATATTAACTGGTCTTCCTTGCAGGTGTGTGGATATTATCCTGTCACTGACAGTGTTGTACTTCAGGACAGATCTTGAAATGTTCTTTTTTGACAATGAATGCCATGCTTTTCCTCTTCAATTTGTCATTTTGGGCATAGTTGACCGTGTTGTTGTTGTTGTTATGTGCCATCGAGTCGGACCCAACTCATAGTGACCCCTCTTTGGGTTTCTGAGGCAGTATCACTATGGAAGTAGATCGCCCAACTTCCTTCCAAAGAGTGCCTGGTGCGTTTGAGCCACCAGCCTTCTGGTTAGTCAAGTGCCTGAGGCACTATGTAACCAGAGCTCCTAAGTAGACCATATGATTGTCTAATTCAAAATGGCCAGTACCAGTCCATTCTAGCTCACTAATGCCTAGGATATCAATCTTCAAGCATTCCCTTTCATTTTTGACAACTTCCAATTTTTCTAGATTCATACTTTGTACATTCCGATTACTAATGGATGTTTACAGCTGTTTCTTTTAATTTTGAGTCATGCCGCATTAGCAAATGAAGATCCCGAAAACTTTACTCTACCCACATTATTAAGGTCAGTGCCAGGTTGATTATATGGTACCTCCTGATCATATGCCTTTGAGGAGGCAGCTCTTCTCTGATTGTATTTTGAGTGCCTTCCAACCTGAGGAGCTAATCTGGTACTGTGTCAGACAGTGTTCCACTGATGGACATGAGATTTGTAAAATGCAGTCTCATTGTGGTTTTGATTTGCATTCTCTAGATGACTAATAGTATTGAACATCTTCTCGCGTAATATATCTATTTGTTTATCTTTTTTGGAGGGATTCCTTCAAGTCCTTTACCATTTTTATATTGACTTTCAAATTGTCTTTTTATTATTAAGTTGTCAGAATTCTTTATATATTCTAGTTATAAATCCCGTAGAAGGGATTATAATTATATAATTACTATATAATTATAATTATATAATTTGGAAATATCCCCTCCTATTCTGTGGGTTGTCTTTTCACCTTATTGATGGTATTCTTTGAAGCATAAATGTTTTTAATTTTGGTGAAGGCCAATTTATCTGTTTGTTCTTTGGCTTGTGATTTTGGTGTCATACCTAAGAAACCATTGCCCAATGCAAGAGCATGAAGATGTACCTTCATGTCGTCTTCTAAGAGTTTTATAGTTTTAACTCTTACATTTATATCTGTGATCCATTTTGAGTTCATTTTTGTATATGGTATGAGGAAGGAGTCCCGCTTCATTTTTGACATGTGGATATCCAGTTATCCCAGCACCATTTGTTGAAAAGCCTGTTCTGTTGATCTATATGTCTGTCTTATGCCAGTACCACACTGTTTTGATAATAAACTTTGTAATAAGTTTTGAAATTAGGAAGTGTGAGTCTTTTCATATTCTTTTTCAAGATTGGTGAATTCCTTTTGTTGTTGTTGTTGTTGTTATATGCCTAGTCGGACCCGACTCATAGCGACCTCTCCTTGGGTTTCCAAGGCAGTATCACTACGGAAGTAGATTGCCCAACCTTCCTTCCGAGGAGTGGCTGTTCTAAATACACGATCATGTCATCTGTAAGTAGAGATAGTTTTACTTCTTCCTTTCCAATCTGGATGCCTTTTCTTTTCTTATTTAATTTCTGTCACTAGAACATCCAGCACAATGTGGCAAGGGTGGACATCTTGTCTTTCAAAGCCAAACCCACTGCCATTGAGTGGATTCCGACTCATAGAAGCCTGGTAGGAGAGTAGCACTGCCCCGTAGAGCTTCCAAGGCTGTACATTTCTACAGAAACAGACTGCCTCATCTCTGTCCCATGGAGCAGGTGGTAGGTTCAAACCACCGTCCTTTGATTAGCAGCTCAGTGCCTTAACCACTGTGCCACCAGAGTTCCTTATTCTTGTTTTAGTCCCTGATAAAAAGCAGCCTTTCATTATGATGTTAGCTTTGGGCTTTTTATAGATGCCCATTATCAAATTGAAGAAGTTCTATTTCTAGTTTCTTGAGTGTCAGTTTCTCCACATCTTTGTCAATACTTGTTAATTTTTGTTTTTTTCATAATAGCTATCCTCGTGGGGGGTGAAGTGGTATCTTATTGTGCTTTTGATTTGTGTTTTCCTAGTGACTGATGACGTTAAACATCTTTTCATGTGCTTTGCTTATTGGCCTTTTGTATGTATTCTTTGGTGAAATGTCTATGCAGTGATTTGGCCTCTCTTTATTTTAAATCGTGGTACAAATATATACAACAAAACATACACCATCTCAGCAATTTCTATGTGTACGTCTCAATGATACTGATTATATTCTTCAAGTTGTGCCACTATTCTTACTATCCTTTTCCAAATTATTCCATCACCTTTAACATAAACTCAATGCCCTCTAAGCAAAAACTCCCCATTTTTCCTCTGGCCCTTGTTGTTGTTGTTATTTGCCATTGAGTCGGACGCGACTCATAGCGACCCCTCCTTGGGTTTCCGAGCAGTATCTCTACAGAAGTAGATTGCCCAACCTTCTGAGGAGTGGCTGGTGGGTTTGAACTGCTAGCCTTCTGGTTAGCAGTCAAGTGCCTTAGGCACTATGCTATCATAGCTCCTTCTCTGGCCCTGGTAACCACTAATAATCTTTGGCTTCTCTATAGTTGCTTTTTTCACATATGTGAGATCATACAGTATTTGTCATTTTATAACTGACTGGTTTTGCTCAGCATGATGTTTTTAAGATTCATCCATGTCGTGGCATGCATCAGGACTTCATTTCTCTTCAGGGCTAAGTAGTATTCCATTGTGTATATATATTACATTTTGTTTATCCATTCATCTGTTGATGGACATTTTGGTTATTTCCACCTTTTGGCCATTTTAAAATAGGATTTTTTTTGTTATTGTTGAGTTCTAGAAGTTCTTTGCACAGTCTGGATATTACAGTCTTACCAGATAAATAATCCCCAAATATTTTCTCCCAATTTGTAGGTTTTCTCATCACTTTGTAGGTAAAGTCCATTCATGTTAAAAAGTTTTTCATTTTGATGAAATTCAGTTTATCTATTTTGTCACTCAAGTTTTTAGTTTCATACCTAAGAATCTGTTGTTAAAAAGTATATCCCAAACCATTACTCCTATGTTTTGTTCTAATAATTTTATAGTTTCAGTTCTTATATTTAGGTCTTTGATCTATTTTAATTTTCATATATGGTGTCAAGTATGGATCCAACTTAATTCTTTTGTTTCTTAATGCTTAAGTTTCTTAATACTTCTGAATCTCTTTGTCCATAGAACAAATACTACATAGGACAATACCACATTATTGTGCCATTGAAAGGGGCTCAGGTCAGACATGCAAAGAGTTAAGAGCTGGACACAGCACTTGGCTTTGAGTAGCTTTTGAAAGGACCTCACAGCCTTTTTCTCCCTTCTGCATCTTTGCCACAGGGTGCTGTGCCATTCCTGGTCAGTGCCACCTCTGGCACCACTGTATTGGGGGCCTTTGACCCCCTGGAGGCAGTTGCTGATGTGTGCCAGCGTCATGGTCTGTGGCTGCATGTGGATGTGAGTAGGACTTGGACCTGTGAGTGGGATGGACTAAGACCAGGCCAAGGCCTATGTTGTTCTTCCTCTTGCTCCACAGGCTGCCTGGGGTGGGAGTGTCCTGCTGTCACAAACACACAGGCATCTCCTAGATGGGATCCATAGGTGGGTAGAGCCCCCTTCTCCCTGAATCCCATCTTCAAATCCTTGATCCAAAGGACAGTCATGGACTAGGGAGCTTAAGGATGGGGGTTGAGGAAAGGGACAGGTAGGAGTGAGGAGTGGAGACATGGTTGACTGGGGCTGGGATGTCAGAGGTCAGACATGGTAAGTCTTTGTGACTGGTAGGGTAGAGGTGAGACTAAAGCCCCACTGTAGAGATCTGGAAGAGGAGGGGGGCTCTGGTTGGGCAGCTTGAAGAGGGGCCAACTTACGCACCTTCGCTTTGCTCTACCTCAGGGCTGACTCAGTGGCCTGGAATCCCCACAAGCTTCTCACGGCAGGCCTACAGTGCTCAGCTCTTCTTCTCCGGGATACTTCGGTGGGACAGCTTCTACCCCAGCCCTGGTCTGGCCTTGACCCTGTCCCAGCCCTACCTGTCACTTTGTCTTTTTCCCCTACCTCACTTTAGACAGGGCCTAGGCCTTTCTGTGTTCTCTTCACCATCCCATCTGAAGCTGAATATCTCCTGTTACCCTAATCCCCCAGATTGGGCTCCCTCCTTCCTTCAGTGACCTTTCTTCATTCAAAGGAAAAAGTTTCCAGCTTGAAGTTGCAACAGGAGGGATTTAGGGTAGAGTTTAGGAAGAACTCTGGGTATTGGGAGAAAATCAGAGGATGGGGTCTAAGTCAACTGGCAGCCATCTCATCAGCACTGCCCAGCTCCAGGGAACAAACTGGGTAGACTGAGCGAAGAGATGCCCTGATACAGCCCTAGAGGAAAGCTCAGCGGGAAGGATGGGGTCTAACAGCCTCGCCACCCCTGCCTAGAACCTGCTCAAGCGCTGCCACGGCTCCCAGGCCAGCTACCTGTTCCAGCAGGACAAGTTCTATGATGTTGCTCTGGACACGGGAGACAAGGTGGTGCAGTGTGGCCGCCGTGTGGACTGTCTGAAGCTGTGGCTCATGTGGAAGGCACAGGGCGGGCAGGGGCTGGAGCAGCGTGTTGACCGGGCCTTTGTCCTTGCTCGGTAGGAGTGGGGAGGGGCCCCAGTCCTCATATCTTGAGGTCTGTCCCCTTCCTCCTTTTCCTGCTTTCAGGGTTACCCCTACGCTCCTCTCCCATCTCTTGGTGTTTTTGTAGCTCATTCTGCATTCTCTGTGGGTGTCTTTATCTATCCACCCAACTATTTTTTTCTATGTATCTTCCATTTCTGTCTTGTCTTCTCCACCTGTGACTTCTCCCTGTCTGTTTACAGGTACCTAGTGGAAGAAATAAAGAAGAGAGAAGGATTTGAGCTGGTCATGGAGGTATGTCATCATGCACCCCCCTCCCAGCCTGTCCCATTACACAAAGTCCCAAAGGGGGAAGTAAGGGCAGGCAGAGGGAAAAAGGTCCCCCTTCCTCAGCTGACATCTTCCCCTTGCTTATTCCACCCAGCCTGAATTTGTCAATGTGTGTTTCTGGTTCGTGCCCCCCAGTCTGCGGGGAAAACAGAATAGCCCAGATTACAGTGAAAGACTGGCTAAGGTAGGCTTTCTCTTCCCACATCTGGGTAAGCTACCCTGTTCAGGGAGAACTGATATGGCCGATGCTCTTCTGCCCCCTGCTGGTTGTGAATGGTATGGAAGGTCCCTTGCTTCTGAGGTGGGGCTATGGACTGGGAGAAAATATCAATTTATCCTCTTTTTTTTCACAATGATGGGAAGAGGGAACAAGGTATGTTTATGGAAAGTAAGAATAACAGAGGAGCATTATAGAAGAAGTCACTAATGTGTAGTACACAGACCTGTGTGCTGGACCTCTGCTGGGAGCTCAGGCCCCCAGGACAGAGATGTCAGGCAGATAGATCACAGAAGAGCTTTATTCACTGATGCTGGGGACCAAACAACCTGGTGAGGACAGTCCAGGCATGCTTTCCAGAGGTAGGGAGGTATGTCAAACCCTGGTCCCTAAGTACTAGGTGCTGCAAGATGATCCAAAACGACAAACATTTTCTTGCCCTTGGGAGATTTCAATGTTATTTCAGAAAACGAGGGGTACCTATTCTGAACTATTGTGCTCAAGGAAGTTTTGTAAATTACATGTTAGATCATAGGGTGCAGGTGAAAAATAGTACAGGAATTAAGAGAGGGGAGAAGGTGTTAAGGATGACAGAGGTTTGGAGCTAGACCCAAAGCAGTGTTGAGAATTAGGGAAAAGTCAGGATTTGGCAGAAAATGAGCTTTCTTGGGAGGTATGAGAGATGGGGCAAAAAGCAGAAGGTAGAACAGGCCATCTGCTTCTGAAAATCAGCCAGTGAAGCCCTGTGGATTCCAGTGGTCACATCCATAGTGAATTGGGGGCTGACTTGACATCCACTAACAACAACCACAGTGCAGCCCAGGCAGGTTGGATGTGGTCGGAAAGGTAAACTGTCAAGGTCTGAGCAATGAGAGCTTCCTCAGGAAGATGGTTGGATGGGGAAGGAAAACTTCTTGAGGTTTTGGGGCTAGCCAGGAAACCAGCCCACCTCCCACCTAACCCTCAGCCTGTGTTCCCACAGGTGGCCCCAGTTCTCAAGGAACGCATGGTGAAGGAGGGCTCCATGATGATTGGCTACCAGCCCCATGGTGCCCGGGGCAACTTCTTCCGCATGGTTGTGGCCAACCCCATGCTGACCCAGGACGATATAGACTTCCTCCTGGATGAGTTGGAAAGGCTAGGCCAGGACCTGTGAGCTCCCCTCTTCTGGCTGCTGACCTGGACACTACCCCTCTCCCTCACCTAGTCTCTTTCTCTGTATTCCCTTCCTGTGTTCTCAGAACAACTTTTCCTTTCTAGAAAACAAAGTGGCCTTAACAAAGTGTATATGCACTGACCTGCTAAATCTTCTAGTAAATATTTTATATTATTGTTAATTTGCTGACTTACGGAGACCCCAAGTGCACAGAATAGAGCTGCTCCATAGTTTCCAAGGTAACACAGAATGTTAAAAAGAAAAAAAAAAAACCACAGAGTATATCCATATGATGAAATGTTATTCTGCTCTAAAATTATGTTTACAGAGAGGATTTTTATTAACAGGAGAAAAAAATGCCTTTAATATTATATTGAAAAACTGGATATAAGATTTTATATACAATAATATCTGAACTATGTTAAAAAAACAGCTAGGAAAAGACTGATGAAATGAAATATGCCAAGATGTTACTATTTTTCTCTGGGATGGGATAATAGGCAATTTTTAAATCTACTTCTTTATGTCTTTTGTGCTCCCCTCTTTATTATATAATGGATATATAATACATTTATGATAGGAAAATAATAAAGTTAAAAGTTCAATTATATTCTCTTGGACTGTTTTGAGGTTTATTGTCTCTAAGCTCAATCAGACAATGGTGAATGCAACTTTTTCTTTATGGAAGAAAAGGTGAGGGGAAGTAAGTGTAAGAGAGGCTAAAGATGGGAAATTTTTTTTTTTTCTTTTGCAATAATCTTTAGTGGGATGGCAAAGACCAAAAGTGAAGTCACTCTAAAATTAATTGTACTTTAGTAATACTGAAAACAAAGTCGACACTGACTATCTTGAGAACATAGCCTTGTCCATTTTATCATTCTGAAAAAATCCTTACACATACACATGCACAAGGATTTTTTTTCTGTGATTAGAACAACAGAAACCAAATTAAAAACAGAAATAAAACCAGCAGGGAAAACCAAAATCATCTGTATGAGACCAAATGGTCAAAAACTAAAGCAAAGATAAGAAGGTAAGAGGGCAGGGACACTAGAGTACTGGAAATGGTATGACCAGAGTGGAATGAATGAGAATGATAGCACATTGTGAAAAATGTAACCAATATCACTGAATCATTTGTGTAGAAATGATTAAATGGAAACATAATTTGCTGTGTAAGCTTGCACCTTAAACACGATAAAATAATATTAAAAATAAAAATCAGTGAGTAAAATCATTTTTATGTCCTCTGGTCTCACTACTGTCTTACATAAAAACATCCACTCAATACTTAAAATCCTGGGCTGTATCCTTTCTTTGTCCCTTTTTGGGAAAGAGGCGTTTCATTACCTAAGGTATTAAGGATGGGTTACAAGTCTACCAGAACTTTTTGTTATTTCCAATTCCTAAAAATATCATTTATGAAAACAATAAAGTAGTCACGTAAAAGTCATCCAGACCTATTTGAAGAGGCAAATACAGACTGCACAAACCATAGAAAAGAACACACAAATCACAGACACAGTTCTCTTGACCATTGGGGGGAAAGAAGTCTTTCTATTCCTAAGTTACTAGTAATTCTCCTATAAATGTGGTATTCTTGTCACAAATTGTATTTTAATTTCTTCCAAATAATAAAATTATTTTGGGACTATTCATAACTGGAACTTCAAACCCTAATCTTAAATGATTCTGTGTGCCTATAAAATGTCTCAAATATAGCAGAAAAAAGCAAACAAAAAAAAATTCTTAATTTTTAATGCAAAGCAAAGCCAGCAAGGAAAAAGAAAAACAAACTTCAAATTCTTTGAACCACCTCCATTTGAGAAATATTTTTAAGACATGGCCAGAGACACAGGACATAACATCAGTTAATAACCAATTTTTTCCAAGTTCTTGCAACTGCTCTTGCTATTCTTCTGTTCTCACAATTCAACCTCAAAACCTCTGGCTTCAACTATCACAGTCTCTGTCTCCCTCCCTCTCTCCCATCAATATCGGTAAATACCGAACTCCTGCTATGTGTAATCCCTATCCTTGCCTTCAAAGAGTTTACACCAAGTCATTCTTCAACTAAGGAGCTCTGCTGGAACTGACTTGACAGCATGAGTTTGTATTTTGGTTTATCCTTCAACTGGGGCCCTGGTGACACAGTGGTTGAATGCTCGGCTGCTAACCTTAAAGTTGGTGGTTTAAACCCACAGCCACTCCATGGGAGAAAGATGTGGCAGTCTGCTTCTGTGAAGATTTACTGCCTTGGAAGCCCTGTGGCACAGTTCTTCTCTATCCTGTAGAGCCACTATCAACTGGACTGGTTTGGTTTTGGTTTTATCCTTCAACTGAGGCAAAGCCCTACTGTCTGTCCCCTTTTGCCTGAAATATTCATCCATCTCCACTGCTCGCTTCCTTGTTGCCTTCAGATCTTTGTCTTGATGTTACCTCCTCTGAAGCCTTCTTGCGTATTCTGTTTAAAATGTGCCTTTGCAGACATCACTCAAAAGGAAAACTACAGACCAATATCCCTCATGAATATAGATGCAGAAATCTTCAACAAAATCCTAGCCAATAGACTCCAACAACATATTAAGAAAATAATTCATTATGACCAAGTGGGGTTCATATCAGGTATGCAGGGATGGTTCAACATTAGAAAAACAATCAATGTCATCCACCACGTATATAAAATGTGCCTTTGCATTCTCCGTTCCTGTACTGCTATGCACTTAGCTGCCCTGTTCTTATCATACGAGCATCTGGCATATTCTATATTTTTGTTATTTTTAAATTTTTTGCCTCAGCTAACTAGAATGTGAGCTCTCTGAGAGCAGAGGTTTTGTATTGCTGCCTCTTAACGTGATGTCTGGTACTTAACTAACCAGTAATCAATTGCCTGTGAGGTAGTTATGACTCACAGCAACCCTATGTGTTTCAGAGTAGAACTGTATTCCCTCGGGTTTTTATGGCTTTGACCTTGCAGGAGCAAATTGCCAGACCTTTCTTCAGAGGCACCTCTGAGTGGGTTCAAAGCACCAATTTTCTGGTTAGCAGCCCAGTGTCTAACTGTAACCATTTGTGCCACTAAAGCTGTGTCATTTGCTGTGCTAAGGGAAACTGAAAGCCAGAGCTTTAAAGGCAGAAGTGGTGTTCCCTGGAAGCCAGCACAGTGGCGGCAGAAAGAATGGAAGATAACCTGATTTTATGCTTGCTTTTCTAGACTGGTATTTTGTCAGTTATTGGGGGTCCGTTTCTACATGCAAGAGGGATCCAGTCAGTCTGATGGCCTAATTTTGAAAATAGTCTTGGAGGTCATTTTTAGCAAATTCTCTGGTGCCAACATGATTGGCTTACATATTTCTTTAGTTTGTAGCATGTTATTTTTAACTTTTTGTTATAACCGCATACATCTTAATGTTAGCTCAGGTGTTGAGGTGCTTTCAATGTCAACTGAGGTGGAAAAAAAGAAGATACAAATCATCACTATCAGGACCGAGAGAGGTGACAACACTACCAACATGAAAAGGATAATAAGGAAACAACTTAGATGAAGTAGACACATTTTTTGAAAGATACATACAATCTACCAAGGCTTATTACTCAGGAAGAAATAGATAACCTGAAATAATAGCCCTTATTTATTAAACAAACTGAATTTGTAAGTCTCTCCCCTAAAGAAAAGCCCAGTGTCGCTATCTGGCATATATAACATTCAAGTCTAGTTTCACTGGCAGAGGGGAACAGCACCAACACGACCTCATTTCATGGCTAGAACATCCAATAGACTGTTTGGTTGATCTTTTCAAAGAGCCACCTGTTGGTGTCATTGATTTTTCTCTATTGTTTTTCTATTCTGTATTTCATTAATTTCTGCTTTAATATTTATTACTTCTTTCCTTCTGCTTGCTTTGCCCTACTCTTCTTTTACCAGTGTCTTAACTTCCATGAGTCAGAATTGACTCGACGGCAGCTAACAGCAACAAAGTGGAAGCTTACTTTATTGATTTGAGATTTTTCTTCTTTTTAAATATAGGCTATAGATTTTAGTGCCTAAGGCATTTGACTGCTAACCAGAAGGCTGGCGGTTCAAACCCACCAGCCACTCCTCGGAAGGAAGGTTGGGCACTCTACTTTTGTAGTGATACTGCCTCGGAAGCCCAAGGAGGGCTTGCTATGAGTCAGGTCTGACTTGATGGCACATAACATAGATTTTTAAATGTTTAAAGATTTTTTTAAATATATAGCATAAATTTTATGCTATATAAATTTTATAGATGCTCTTTTTCAGGTTGAGAAAGTTCCTGTCTATTCCTAGTCTGTTGAGAATTTTTATCAGGACTGGATTTTATCAAATGTCTTTTCTGCATATATTGAGATGATACTAAGGTTTTTCGTTTTTAGTCCATTAATATGGTGAATTAAATTGATTAATTTTTTAAAATTAAACCAACCTTGAATTCCTAGGGTAAACACCACTTAATCATGATATGTAATCATTTTCTATATTGTTAGATTCATTTTGCTACAATTGGTTAAGAATTTTTGCATCTATGTTATGAGAGATGATTGGTCTATAGTTTTCTTATGATGTGTCTATTTAGTTTTCATATCATATTCATATTTGGTACCATATTCTGGGCAATAAAACTAGTCTCAGTAAGTTTTTTAAAAATCAAATTATACAAAGTATTTTCTCTGACGAAAATGGTTTAAATTAGAAATTAGTGACAAGAATATTTTAGCAACCCCAAAATATATGGAATCTAAAGAAAAGCTTGTAATAACCCATGAGTCAAAGGAAAAATAAAAGGGAAAATAGTTAAGTATTTTAAACTAAATAAATAAAAACAACATCAAAATTTATGAGATGAAGCTGAAGCAGTACTTAGAGGAAAATTTATAGCACTGAACACCTACATTAGAAAGAAACAAAAAACAATGAAACCAAACAGTCATCAAGTCGGATCCAACTCATAGTGACCCCTCCTTGGGTTTCTGAGTCAGTA